CTTTCATCATATGTGAGGGCAGCTGAAGTGGCCAATGCACAATCAGGAGATGCGTTTCGGGACTCATCAGTACTGGCTTGCAAATCAAGTTGTTGCAAATGTATACAAATTTCAGTGGTACCATTCATCCCAAAATGCATGTGTATTTAATACATTTGTCTTGCAATTGTGGCACTTTTCTTTTTGTTTGCTTTAAACCAAAGAAAGGGCTGTTGATATTTTCATTCCCCTTTTTCCCCCTTTCCTAAAAACTTTTTATTGTGAATTAAGTGGGGGTTTACCTATCAGATCATCTTTTTTGCATTCAATAATTTAAACTACTTATCAGACCTCCCCATGGCTTGTCCTATACCTGCTACCACCACCACCACCCCTTTTTCCCCCATCTCCCTCTTTTAGGACTGAAGACTCCCTTGGGAGAGAGGGAAAGATCCTACTGCTCATACTCTCCTATGGATGTGGACCATCAGGTTCCAGAAGGATCAACTTTTTAACTAGAAAATGGTTCTAGCTCTTTTCTCCTCTCCGTGTTCCTTTTCTTGTAATTCTGCTTTTTTAATAAGACCATCTGAAACACAGCCGAACATTAATTTCAGCATTCTTAGAAGAAGGTTAGAGCATAAAATAAGCATATGGGCACTATCAGAGCCACAGACCACCTCCTGGATTATTTTTGTTCCTCAGAAAGTACATTGGGAACATCCTGTCCCCAAGAAACTATTCGTTATCAGCAAAGGATCTTTGTGTTAGAAAAAAATTGATTCAGAGTATCACAAAACACTTTAATGTGAAAAATTTATGTATATATATTTTTTATTTATAGAATTTTTATTTTTTGTGTGTACGTAATGGGATTTTATGCAATTTGCTTCCTTTCTAAAGGTGATATCATGGAAGCTTTGTGACCCTGTGACTTACGGAAGACCAAAACCAAGTTCATTACCATTAAGTTGATTCCAGCTCTTAGTGACAACATAGAGTTCACAAAGCTGTCATCTTTACAGAAGTAGACTGCCACATCTATTTCTCTTGGAGCACCTGGTGGGTTTGAACCACCAACCTTTCAGTTAACAGCTGAAGGTTTATTTACTGCTCCATTAGGGCGCCTCCCAGAGTAAGGACACACCACCTTCTCCCCTGAAAAGGGGGATAATAGTCATATGTAGAAATATGAATGAGAGAATACCCATTTTAATAGCCATTTGCCTATTAAAGATAGCCTCTTAGTCTGTCTTAAGATTCTGTTCTGTTTTGCTCTGCATTCAACACAAAGGATGTGAGGATCATATCACTGCTGACTCACTCTTAGGCTAGGAGATGCCATGTGCAGTGCATTTGAGCCTGGGCTTAGAGACCGGTCCCAGATGATGTAGTGGTTACGTAAGTGGTGGACTGTTACCCACTAGTTAGCCCACAGATTGGGAGAAAGATGAGGTGTCTCTTCATTGAAGATTTACACTCTGGAAAACCCTCAGTAGCAGTTCTACCCTCTCCTATAGTTAAGCTGTGTTGCCATGAGTTTGGGTTTAGGGCAAGAGAGTGGTCAGAACCATCATGCAAAGTTTAAGAATACAATGGAAACCATTAAAAGGCAATATTACTCTCTGATAAATTAGACTTCAAGGCGTGTAACATAATGAGAGACAAGAATGGACACTGCACGATGATTAAAGGAACAGTACATTAGGAATATATCACCTTAATAAGCATATATGCACCAAATTAAATACCCTCAAAGTACATCAATCAAATTCTCACAGCGCTGAAAATAGAAATAAAAAGTGGCAAAATAACAGTAGGAGACTTCAGCACATCACGCGTAAGGAAACAGGTCATCAGGAAAGAAACTCAACAAAGAAACACAAGAGCTAAACAACAGAACCAACTAGCTTAACCTCCAAGACGTATGCAGAACACTATGACTAACAATAACACAGTAATCATTCTTCTCCAACACACACACAGTGCATGCGCTACACTAGATCACTTTGTAGGCCACAAAGTAAGCCTCAACAAATTAAGAAACACTGAGATCCTATAATCCATTTCTTCGGACCACAGTGCTATAAAACTGGAAATCAACAACAGAAAGAACAGGAACATAAAGAAAAACATAAGGAAACTAAGCAGCATATAAAAATGACCGAGTAATAGATTAAATATAGGATGAAATTAAGAAATCACTTGAAATAAATGAGAATGATAACTTATCTCATCAAACCAAAACCTTTGGGATACAGCAAAAACAGTTATGGTAGGGTAATTTATAACAATCAACACATGAAAAAAGAGAAATCCAAAATCTAAGAATATATGCCTAGTAAATTATTTTACATGCTGAATACCCTTTAAATAGATAGACTCTTAACAATGTAACTTTGGTTATTTTATTCCAAAATGGAAAACCTAAAATTGAATGTAAGGTAAACCAAGAAAAATAACTTTCTTCTTTTTAAAAATAAATGTCTTCTTTTTTGTTACGTTTTACTTCGCTTTGTTTTTACGCTTATTATTGTCTATGCATGTCTATCTGAACGAGCTAGGCAGGATGAACAATCTGGAAGAGAGAACAGTGGGACCAATGGTTCTGGGGGGGCAACGGGAGAGGGAGAGATGGGGGAGAGGAGGGAATTGCCAACAAACCCAGGGACAGGGAAGAACAATTGGATTTTCTAAAATTGATGACAAAAGGGCATAGGATGCTTGGGGGTGGGGGGTGCCTCAATCAAGGGCAGTGTAGCTGAGAGGAATTACCAAAACCACAATGAAGGCCGAACATGATAGTGGGACAGAAGGAAAGTAAAAGAAAATAGAGGAAAGAACAGGAAGACAAAGAACATTTATAAAGGTCTAAATACAGACATGTTTATATGTAAATACATTTATATACAATGACGGGAAAGGATTTATGCACATAGACATTGGGCCTCCACTCAAGTACTCCCTCAATGCAAGAACAATTTGTTCTACTAACATGACACTCTGATGTTCACCTTCCCTGACACAATCGCTGAAGACAAAATGGGTACATAAGCAAATGTGGTGAAGAAAGCTGATGGTGCCCGGCTATCAAAAGATATAGCGTCTGGGGTCTTAAAGATAAACAAGC